TCTGCGTGTCACCGTCGATGAGTAGCCGAAGCGTCTTCGAGCTTTAATTAGTACAAAAGACGGTTATATAAGATGACCGTGTATATATTTTGCAGATGCGATGAATAGTAAATAACTCACAAGAATTGATCATGTATCAATATGAACTGCGGTTTCTGGGGGCCAGTTTTTTTGGTCACCATATTTATGGCGCACCCTGTACTATTACAGGCCGGGGTGTCGGTGAACGCAAGCATTAGGTGAAAGATTTACAGAAATAAAGTGGAACTTTCTCATCCACTCCTGCATTTTAAAGAGAGATAAACAGGAGACGATATTCCTTCTGTAATGTCAGTGCAGAGTAGGAGATCGCACGCACCGACTGCTGTGCAGTATTTAGGTGCGCGGTTTCTTGCCAAAAATCCAAGTATATAAGAGTTAGCTCCAGAAGGGATGGGTTGTCAAATTTGGACTTAGAGCGGAGCTCTACACCTCAACCCAGTTCCCCTCCTCTGCATCTTGACGCAATGGCAGGGCATCTTGCTTGTTTTTTATTATTGTACCAGGCGGGCTGTAGTCATAAGGGACGGAGCCACATGGGCTTCTGATTCTCATTATAGAATTTTATCATCTGAGCCTCTTCCCTAACACTTCTGTAGCGACCATCTTTTTTTTGTCTCATGGGAAGCATGAAGTTTTCTCGCTAGTTCGCGAAAATTCGAACTGACCGGCAAGCAGTTCAAGAATGGTGTTTGATGTGCAATAGAAAAGCTTGTCCAGCTTGGCTGGAGAATCAGCATAGTGTACATAACACTCGATTTTGAAAATGTAATCAATCAAAGCAAAACTTCTGTATACACAATATTCTTCAGCAAGGGCAACAGGGATTAATCAAGCAACAAATTCAACCTTTTCTGATCTTAATTAACAATTATTTTGATTCGGGATTGGTGAGGTCGTGAAGAGTACTCCTGTGAAATGGGGCTGTTTGTGGCTATGAAGAGTACTCCGATGTATCCAAATTAAATACCTTAGCAGTTCATGTAGTCGAAGAAACTCTGTGAAGTTCGGGCCGTGTGTGGCCATAAACACTAACTTTGAAAGGACAGCCTCTTTCGGTAGTTGTAGGAATTTATACTTCTCCTCAGGGCATGCATCTGTGTGGCAGGGGTTACTGTAGAATTTACTTTTTGAGGTTTGAAGTTAATGTAGTGCATTTGCTCTTGTGTAGAAGGGACTACGGTGTGCAGAACCATGGATACTAACCTTCAACCTAACTTTTGAAAGAGTTCAGTGGCATCCCCTAGTTGTACATCTGTGGTCACGGTTAGTGTGAAGGACAGATGTATAAATTTTTGATGTCAGCCCCGCCTGCGTTTTTGCAAACCCCACTCACTTCAGACTTCGAACCACATTGCTTTTACTAACTCCAAACACCTTTTCCCCGTTCTAAAGCGCATCTGCAACGACTTAATAATTTTGATGAAAGCCCCGCCCAATTGTGGGATCTGACCACATTTGTTTTACTACATCTTACCACTTCTTTCCCGCATCCCACAACGTTTCTAAAAAGAGTTATAAATTTTTGATCTGAGCTCCGCCCACTTTAGTGCAAACTCCGTCCGCTTTAGTGCAAACTCCGTCCACTTTAGTGCCAACTCCGTCCACTTTAGGGCCAACTCCGCCCAATTCTGGGATTTGACCACATTAGTTCTTTTACACCTTACCACTTGTTTCCCGCGTCCCAGAATGTTTCTAAATTGAGTAATAGATACTCGATCTAGGCCCCGCCCACTTTAATGCCAACCCCGCCCACTTCGGGGATTTGACTACATGTTCCTTTACACCTTACCACTCTTTTCCCGCATTCAAGAACGTTTTTGAACATAGTTATGAATTTTTGATCTAAGCCCACCCACTTGAGTGCCAACTCCGCCCACTTCTAGGATTTGACCACATTTGTTCCATTACCTCGTACCACTCTTTTCCCGCTTTATAGAATCTTTTTGAACGAAGTTAGTTTTTTTGAAAAGTATCTTTCACCTCAACCCCGCCCAGCCTGGGCGGGCTTTGCTATGCTTACGCTTGCCCAGCACGCATAAGGCCTTGCTCGCTCTTTTTATTTTTTCCTGGTCTCGACGCCTTCGGTTAATCGAGTTATGAACCTCTGTGGAAAGTACCGCTCACTACGAGAACGCCCCGCCCACCGCCACTAATTTTGCTTCATTTTAATTGTTGACCCATCCCTCACCTTTGCACATTTTTCCCTGCGTCTGGCTGCTATTAAACCAAATGAGAAGAATTTGCCCACGACCCCGCCCAATTCCGGCGCATAACCCGCCCTTTGGGGGCGGAGCCCGCTAGGCTCACATGTGCTCTGTTGCACTTACCCTGTGCTCAACCCACTCCAAACTTGACCCGACTTCTCTAGGTGTCTCTTCAGGTTATATCGAATTTCCGAACAAACAAACAGACAGACAGACAGAGCGCTCCATATATAGTAAAGATTGTTGTTGTTTTGTTACTATGCAGTTCCTCTTCTACGGATCTCCTTCACTGAGGGTTCTCTCTCACTGAGAATCCTCAGCCGGTTAGTGACTAGGCTACGTAGGGCGTCCCCAGGTGGCGGATAGGGGAACTAATCGCCGACCAAATATCACCGGTACCTGCCCAGAGACGCGGGTGGACTCAAGGGATGGACTCCTTGATTCCGCTGTGCTGGTCTATATACATTCCCTTTCTCGCAGGCGTATCCACGCTTACGTGTGTGAAGAGTCTTTGGGTTCAGTTGGTATCCTGCCCATCGACTCAGCCAAAAGCTTGCATTCGAGTGACCGGGAGGTATCTAGGAGGCGATTCGAAGCCGCCTCCAAAAACAAAGCCCCTCGTCCAAGGTAAAAAGCTTCGGGATAGCCCGGCAAGCCCCCGGAGCCAACCCAGCCCCCACATCAGAGCCGGGCAAGCTACACGTTGGGTATTTACTCGCCAAAAACTATAATAGAATCGGGCCTCATTCCCCTAAACCTGGGGGAGCTTCCAATACGGCAGCATTGGCTAGGACTGCTTGGGAGGGACAGCTAAAATCTCAGGGTCAAAACAGACTGCCCCAAAAAGGAGAAGGACTAAGACAGTGATCTGTACTTTCAACGTATGGACGCTTGCATCGGAAGCGTTGATAAAAGACCTGAACATGCAAGTTAGGAGGATCAAGTACGACGTCATCGAACTGAACGAGAAGGCATCGCCCGCTGCACGCTGTATTTGAAACTGGAGAAGAACTGTTCCTTGGAACATGCGAGAGCAGGGGCGTCGGCGGCGTAGGTGTCCTCGTCAATACGCACTTGGCCATAATCATCGATATGTACGAAAGCCTAACAACCCGAATCGAAAGTTTACGATTGGGAAGATGTGGCTCGACCCCAGCTCTAACCATCTTCGTTGCCTACGCACCTACATCGAGCTACGAAGAAGAGCAGTTGGAAGCGTTTTATATGGAGGTGCAGAGAAGACCACACTTCCCTCAAGTTCATTTTCAGTGATTTTTACGCCAAAATTAGCCCCTGAAGAAGCTGAGGAGCTCTACTTCGGGAGTTACGGAATGGAATGGAATGAGCGGGGTGAAAGGCTGCCCCAGTTTATCATGTCGACCCACGCCATCCATGGTAACTCGCAGTTCCAGAAGCCCTCTCAGTTGCGATGGACACGGGAGTCACCTCGTGGAGAGTTCCATAATGAAAGAGACCACACCATCTTTTCAATCGGACATTGTGCCTGACTTATGTCGCTGCTGTTCCGAAGTATTACACAGGATCGGACCATCGTCTCCTGCGCGCTACATTTTACTTCTCAGAACGATGAAGGAGAGAGAGCGATGAAGTTTAGGAGACGGAGCCCCATGACCTTCATCAACTGGGACCACTTCGCTTACATTGCGAGTGGATGCGAAGATTCCGTTGTCGACAACATCGATGAAGAATACAACCGGTGTGTCGAACATCTTCACGATAGCGCTAGGAAAGCAGAGAGTCACAAGTAGCCAAGAGAGACTCTCTTTGAATACTCTCAAGCTGATACGCCAGTGTGGAATCGCACGAGCTACAGGCAATCATCAACAAGCGTCCGAACTTGTGAAGCTATGCAGAGAAGCGATAAAGCAAGATCTGAGAGAGAAGAGCAGCAGTTTTGACTTAAGCCGCGGATGCTGAGAAGAGCATTCGCAAGGCCCGCCGGATCTTCGTCAATTATAAGACCAAGATGTCTTCCCTTGGTCGTCCTGACGGAACAGTTACTGCATCCCGAAGGGCAATGTAGAAGGTCATCTACTACCACTCGGATCTCTTCGACAGCCATGTCTATCTGCCCACCTACCATCTCAGGCGAGACGACTATATCGCTCATTCGGTTATCCCTCCCGAAATACGACACGCCATCACGTCGATGAGAAATGGTATTGCGCCCTGTCCCGATAGGATCAAACCAGAACATCTAAGTAGTCTTCCACCAGTTAGCATCAGAACTCTCGCTAGGCTCTTCACGCGGTATCTGTCGGAATGCAAAGTGCCCACGTTATGGAAAACTAGCAAGAATGTGTTGTTGTATAAAAAGGGAGATCAAGACGATATTGGCAGTCATCGCCCAATCTGCCTGCTGGCTGTAATCTACAACGCTCGCATTATCCTTAACAGGATTGGCAGAATATTAGATGAATGACAGCCATGCGAGCAGGTAGGGTTACGGAGAGGATTCACCACAATCGATCATATCCACACTCTTACAAGACTCACTAAAGATTGCGAGAGTATAAAATGCCGATTTGAAGAAAGCCTCCGACACCGTTGAGACAGAAGCAGTAACGGAAGCCCTGGTCAACCAGTAAGTTCCTACTCAACATATGAGGATGCCTCGTGAGCTCTACGACAACTTCACGACCAGGATTTCACCATTCTACAAGGAAGTCATTGTCAACGTTGAGAGGTGTCCGGCAGGGCGCTACCATTTTGCCCAAACTTTTCAGTGCCGCCCTCGACAATATCATTCGTCATTTGGAATGGGAAGGCTTGGGAGTGAAGGTCGACAGCCTCTACTAACATCACCTCCGCTTTGAAGACGAATCGTGCTTGTAACACCGAATATCGAGCAGGCGGAACGAATGCTGGCCGAGTTTGACAGTGCTTGTGGAAAGATCTGCTCAAGACTGAACTTAACGAAGACGATGTTCATGAAAAACGGATTGGTACCTGATGCTCCTTTTGAGCTGAACGGAACGAATATCTCCGAATGCTCTTGCTATGTGTATCTAGGTCGGGAAGTCAACATTATGAACGACCTAGCTCCGGAGCTGTGCAGAAGGATACGCGCCGTCATTTAATAATGTCGAGAGAGTAGTGAAGAAGTCAAAGAACATCCGGCTCCGCGCTCACCTTTTCGACACTGCTGTCCTTCCTGCTTTGACGTACGCCTCGGAAACTTGGACTCTACGAAATCAGGATGAGCATGCTGCCATGTTTCTCAACGCGCTTTGAAAAGGACGGCGCTCGGAATTTCCCTATACACGCAAGTGCAGAGGAGAATCCGGAGATTCGAGCTCTGTCAACGAAAGAAGATCAGGGACGCCGTTGATTACGACAGAAAATCGAAGATCAGGTAGGCCGGACAAACTATGCTATATAGTGACAACCGTTGGACCAGGGCGGTTACTGACTGGGTCCCTTGGGGCATCAAAGGAACTCCAGGACGGCCGCCAACAAGATGGTCAGACTTCTTTACGAAAGCTCTGAACGAAAGGAATGTTGAATCTCGTGTCCCTGAAGCGAGAACGACTCACTGGACCACTCTGGCTCGTGACAGGAACGAGTGGAGACTTTACTGGCGCCCGCTCGAGGAAGTCGAGGATCAATGGGACGACAGGTGATAGGTGATACAGTTTCTCTTGGCTTCGCTGGCTTGCAGAAGAAACACCACTTTTGACGCACCGATATTCTAACCGATATACGATATGCTACAAGTATATCGTATATCGGTTAGTCCACGAGTACTTTATCGAATGTGCTCTGTTGTTACGCTCGTTGGAGTGGATGCTGGTGTTTTATGAGATTATCCTTTTTACCATGCTATAAATCAATAAGCGAATTAGATCAATTAGACATACGAGCCGGGGCGTGGCAATCATTTTCGCTACGGGAGCTAGTTTCATTATGTATACCATTGATTCGCCAAACACCTGAGTTTTTCAATGTAAGTTTAACGCGGATAATAGAAAACGCTCATTATTACCAGAAGAATTGAGTGAAACGAGGTGACAATACGACCAAAGCGAAAAGTGTTACTCGAAATTTTCAGGTTGGAGGTCTGTCACACCCTTGCACTGAGAACTTGTTCTGACGTTGTTAAGATTTCCTCAGTGTTTTTAGGATCGACCGTTAGTGTAGATATGTGTTACTGAAAAATAGCAGCATGTTTTTTTTCGGAAAGCGTCCGATAGGATTTTCCTTCGAACTGCCCAAACAGTAGGAAATTGGAAACAGATAGGAAAGCTGAAGTGAATGAGTAAATCAGATAAACCACCTTCGGTCTATCATCTGAGAATTCGCTCACTCCACTACAGGGTGCGTATAAGTATGGTAACGATGTAATTATTACAAAAACCGCAATTCATATTGATACATGCTGAATCTGTGTGAACTATTTACTATACTATGCACCGCACCAACATAGTGTGTGCAAGGTCATCCGATATAATCGTCTCCTCCCCTAATTATACTTCGAAGACGCTTTAGCTACTCATCGGCAGCGGCAGGGAGAATTTATTGAGAACTTCCAGACCAGGTTTTTTCAATCGGTTATGCAGAAGCAGCAACAGTGGCGTACTTTGAAGCACAGATTTCCCTTTCTGGTATGGACTACACATACTGATCCATTGGATTGCAGGTCAGGAAATCGTGGGCCGATTGGAAGCAGGGGTAAAATCGCGAACATTTTCTCAGTATCAGCTTTGCTGTTTTTTTCACTCGCAAGCCAAATGCGCCGTAGTTTTCAAACCGTATTTCTGACCCTCAGCAGCACGTTCTCAGGAACGTTCCTTATAACGATGTTCTGATTAATTTGTTTTTCTCGACAAAGATAGGCGATGTGGTTCTAACGACACAGCGTTAAGCCCATACTATAATGAAGGAAAGAAAACGGCTACGGAAAACGATCTAAACCATTTCATGACTACGGCATTCGTAGCGGGAAAAATACGTATACTCCGTGATCTGGACATTCTTTCCACTGTACACCATTTTGTCAGGAAAAAGGTTTCGAAGCGCAAGTAGGGCACGGCATTTGTGGGTCCTCTCGAACTTCTCTCTGTGTGAGCAACGTCGAAACGGATAGCTATCTCGGAAAACCAAATGCGCGCAAAGACGGAACGGCTACTGTATGATTGCAAGTTTCACCATTTCCCGAAAACTGATGAATTGAGATCACCAAAGCAGATATGTGAGCTAAGGTATATGATGCACATAAGTGAAGGCGTAGGTTTGGGAGAACCCTCCGAACAAAGAAATCGCTGACATCCGTGAAATTGTTACCATATATGGTGCACACCGCATAAAAAACGCCCGAAACGAAGCAGAAAATCCAAATTCATCGCAAAGGGTCCGATTGGTATATGCCCATGTGTACAAAACAATGACAGTAATTTTCTCCTAACTAAAACCAAATTAGTTCAGAGGCAACCTTTTCAAATGGGTGAAGACTAAAATGGAAAAAAACTATCAAGAATGTCGCGGGGGAGTTAATCTAATAAAGAATGAGAAAACCGTCATCTTCAAAACGCAGGAGCTCCAGAATGGAGGATATCAAAAATGTCCGACACAGAGGAATGGAAAAAGAGGCAGAAAAGAGGAAATCGCCTATTCCAAAAGATCGACGGTTTGCGCAGGAATAATCGTCACAGACACCTCTGATTTCCATCATAAAGACTCAAAGATTATTGTGAAGTCCTATGTAATATTGTAAAATGTAAGACTAGGGACCCGTTGGACGTAAAATAATCCTAACTTCATAGCAGAGTTGTCTTGAAATAGCTAAATGCCACGATAGTTACCATACGAGGAATGAGATGAGAATGATCTGACAACAACATAAACGACGTCTGACTTTATGCAATACCGGAACCGTTGCGGTCCATGTTTGTGCGTGTGTCCAGTGCGTCCAAAATGGAGCAGTGACACTACTGTTTAGAAATTGTGGGCTGATAGGAGGGTGGGCTCATGAACGTGATTTATGGATTTGAAACTTTAGACAAGTGCTTGTTTTGACTTTCATGAAGTGAAGGATTGATAAGAATTCCGGGTCTTGCAATATCTAACTCACTCACTGACTAGCTAAAATCCTCTTTACAATAGGAAGTAGTATGAACTTATTGAGTCCTAGGAATTTCACTCTAATACCATCGATACAGTAAAGTTGGGTTTAAAATCTGTGCCCAAACTATATATGCGAGATATAGGGCGATTCCCAACATTTGGTTGCTTGCGTTAAATCGCGAGACTGAATATTTTCAAACAAGGCATTTTCACACGGATAATGCCTAGCACTGAGTGGCCCTTTGCTCCACTACCTACTACTCTCCATTATGTATGAGGGACGAAAGCATCATCAGAAAGCGTTACTCCCACGCCTATCTTTCCATCTATTTTTCAAAGGACCCCTGTGACATGAACCACTACTGACCCCGCATCCTTTTTTAAGATAACAAAAATGCACATCATTAAAGGTGGTAATGCTCATGAAAGTCTGTGACTTAACTATTATGATAGTCAACCGATTGGCACGCATGTGGGAGTCGGATATCACAGAGGAAAAGCTTCCGTAGCTTTGTTCCCGAAACAAATCCACAAATTTTTGAGAGCATACTTGAGATCATCTACAAAAAGTAAATGCCTCGGAATACATAGGAACTTGGGTGACCACGTTTACTCAGACTCCCTTCCTTTGATAAAAGTCAGCTCGAAATTTGATGAATTCTTCAGCTCAGGGCAAATGAGATTGAGACCGCCTGCGCGTGACCCACAAATGAAAAGTTGTTTGGAATGGAGATTGTAAAGAAGTTGCTTGGAAAAAATTAATAACTTGGCCACCTGAATTTTCTATTTGATTCCTGTTTCATCAGGATAAGAAGAGTCACCGGAAAAAATACATGTCAAAAAATGTCCGAGCGCTCCGCTCTTTTCATATACCCCACATGTTCAGCCACAAAAGTCTCCAAAATGCAGGAAAATAAGAGTTCCCATCTCATAATTGAGCTCTGTTCCAGGAACTCTATTACCTGCTGCGAGCGAGTACTACGTTCTATGTGCAACACTTGCGAGTTTACTTTCAAAATG